TCAGTAATGAAAAGGCTGGGCATGGTGGCCCACACCTGTAAGTCCAACACTTTGGGAGGCCAAGACAGAGGATTGTTTAAGACTAGGAGTTCAAGACCAGCCTAGACAATATACTGAGACCCCATTTATTTAAAAAAAAAAAAAAAATAGGTGTGGTGGTGTCTATAGCCCTAACTACAACCTCAGGAGGCTGAGGTAGGAAGATTACTTAAGCCCAGAAATTCAAGGTTACCGTGAGCTACAGGTGTAGCAATGCCTTGTATCTTTAAAAAACAAACACACAAACATCTCCTGACAAAAACAATCTGGACTAGATGGCTTCACTGGTGAATTCTATCCAACATTTAGAGAAGAATTAATACCAATTCTTCTCAAACTTTTCCAAAAATTATTGAAGAGGACGAGGAGGGACAACTCATTCCATGAAGCCAGCTATACCCTGATACCAAAGCTGACAGATACTACAAGAAAATTAGACCCATATCCTTTATGAACATTGATGGAAAAATCCTCAGAGGACTAGCAAATTGAATTCAGCAACAAATTAAAAGGATTTTACCACATGACTAAGATTTATTCCTGGAAGGCAAATATGGTACAATATACCTCACATGTAAACAGAATAAAGGGGGAAAAATACATTATCTCAATTGATGCAGAAAAAGCACTTGACAACACTGAACATCCTTTCATAATAAAAACACTCTACAAACTTGGAATAGAAAAAGAAACTACTTCAACATAGTGAAGATCACAGATAGAAAGCCCACAGCAAGCATCATACTTTCAATCTTTCACCATTAAGACCAGGAACAAAGTAGGGAATCCTGCGTTCACCATTTCTAATTAATAAAGCATGGAAAGTTCTAACCAGAGCAATTAGGCAAGAAGAAGAATTAAAAGGCATCCACACTACAAAGGAAGATGTACAATTATCTTTGTAGATATTCTGTGTAGAAAACCCTAAAGACTGTTTCCCCTAAAACTCATTAGACCTAATAAATTCACCAAAGCAGTGGCATACAAAATTAACAAGCAAACTTAAATTGTATCAACAAACACACTGAAAAGGTAATTACTAAAGATTAAGAAAACAAGTCCATGTACAATAGTATCAAAAGGAATAAAATATTTAGGAATTGACTAAGGTGGTCGAAGACTTATACAATGAAAATCATAAAACACTGCTGAAATAAATAAAAGAAGACATACAGAGATGGAAAGACATCCCATGTTTATGAGCTGAAGACTTAACATTGTTAAGATATAAATGCCACCCAAGCGATCCACAGATGCAATGCAATCCACAACAGAATCCTCATGACAAAAGTTGCAGGAATAGAAAAATTACTCCAAAAGATTACACAGAATCTCAAGAGATGCTGAACAAAGAATTCTGAACAAAGCTGGAGGACTCACACTTTTGATGTCAGAACTCACTGCAAAGTTACAGTAATCGAAACAGTGAGGCACTGGCATAAAGACAGAGCCTGGAAAGAAACCCTACACAACACATGGTCAAATGATTTTTGACAAATGTGTCAAGACCATTCAATGGGGAAAGAATAATCTTTTCAACAAATGAGAAATACCCATTAGGATGGCAATTAGAAAAATAAATGAAGGCCTGGCATGGTGGCTCATGCCTATAATCCTACCTCTCTGGGATGCTAAGATGGGTGGAATGCTGGAGCTCCCAAGTTTGAGACCAGCCTGAGCAAGAACAAGACCCTGCTTCTACTCAAAATAAGCAAACTGAGGCAAAAAGATTGCTTGAGCCCAAGAGTTGGAGGTTGCTATGACCTATGATGCCACGGCACTCTGCCCAGCATGACAGCTTGAGACTCTGTCTCAAAAAAAAAAAAAAAAAAAAAGAAAAAAAATCAAACAACATGTGTTAACAAGGATGCAGAGAAACTGGACCCTTGAGCACTGTTGGTAGGGATATAAAGTGGTGCAGTCGCTGGGGAAGACAGTATGGAGGTTCCTCAAAACATTAAAAACAGAATTACCATACAATCTAGTAATCGCACTTCTGGGTATACATCCCAAAGAACTGAAAGAATGCAATCCTTGACAGAATCCTCGTGACAAATGTTGCAGAGAAAGAAAAATTACTCCTAAAGACCACAGAATCTCAAGAGATGCTGAATAGCCAAACAATTCTGAACAAAGCTGGAGGCCTTACACCTTAGATGTCAGAACTCACTGCAAAGTCACAGGAGCTCTAACAGACACTTTTGTACCAATGTTTACAGCTGCATCATTCACTTGGGAAGCAACCCAAATGTCCATCAAGAAATGAACAGATAAACAAAATGTGTCATATACACAATGGAATATTACTCAGCCTTCAAAACAATGCGCTGCTGACATGAGGATGTTATGCTAAATGAAACAAGCCAGTCATAAAGGACAAATACAGGGAGATTCCACTTATGTGAGATATCTAGGGTAGTCAAACTCCTAGAGAGACAAAATAGAATGGCTGCTGCTTGGGGCTAGGGCAGGAAGGAACAGGGAATTGTTTAATGGGTGCAGAGTTTCAGTTTTGCAAAATGAATAGAGTTCTGGAGCTGGACGATAGTGATGGCTACACAATATAAATGTATTCAATACCAATGAACTGTAAACATAAAATGGTTAAGACGGTAAATTTTGTAATGTGTATTATAGCACAATAAAAAGATTGAAGAGGGAATAAAAAGGAAAGGCCTTGTTCAAGGCCACACTAAAGGCTAGCAAAAGGGGACAGAGACCAGAAGACAGGGTGACCCAAAGCTGGTGTTGCTGCCACAGCAATGGGACATCTCTGTCCTTGTATCAGGCCTTTCTCTACAGACCCTGGTATCATTCATTAACCTCATTTAAGCCACAGGAGAGACTATTCCCACAGGCTTGGTAACACGGGGAAACGTGGAGCTGTGGTTTGGAATTCTGTTTCTAGTCTAAGAAACTGAGATGGTCATACCACCACGCTGTGTCCGCTGTCCGTTTTCTTTGGGAAGTTGGGGGTTTATGTGTTTGTGTTAGGAGATGAGTACACAGCATTCAAAGCTCATATTAATACACTAGAGATAGCATAACTCATGGCTGAGGTTTTTTTGTCTTGGCAAAGCAAACTGAGGTGGCTCTGAGGTAAGGCTCTTCTCTCTAGAGCCTCTGGAAAAAGAGCTGGGGTGAAGGGGTACCAGAGTCATCTAAAGACAATCTCCCTCAGCCTCCGAGCTGTCTAAAGCTGTAAATGGGGAGAAGAAAGCCCTGACTCCTTGTCAGAAACTTGGCTCTTGACCCAGGGCACTACCAAGAGGGGCAGCAACATGTCAACTGCCAAATGGAGACGAGAACATATCTGTATTTTCTCAGTCTCTTATCACAGGGGTCAAATGAGACGACAGAGCAGCTCTCACACTCAGGAAAGTAAAGCATGCCAGATAAAACCAAGGTCTGACTCGTGTTATTTTTGGATGAATTCTCCACTTGATAAATATAATTCCTTTTGTGAATAGAATCTCCTAGGTGCTCAATGGTTGCCAGGAACCACCTACATACCCCTGACAGACATGGGAAGGGGCAAGGGTCTGGGCCCCACAAACAGCTGGGTGGCTCTTGCCCAGTGTTTTTCAGGTGAAGGGCAGGGACAGGGCCTGAGAGGGGAAGAGATGTGGGAGGACAGACTCAGGGACACCCAGGTCATTTATCACACCTGTGCCTCATTCGCCTCTTTAACCTATCTGCCTATTCCTGTCTACAAAAAGAGGAAAATGTCTCTTTTGGCCTAGTGGTTCTCAACTGGTAGCAATCTTACCATCCAGGGACATCTGGGCCCCGTGTGGAGGTTTCAGTGACTGTCCCACAGGTGGGGTGCCACCGGGATCTGGACAGTGTTGGTCAGGGATGCTGTTCACCCTCCTACAATGCCCGAGGCAGCCTCTAACGAGGCGGCACAAGGGCTCAGCTTGCCGAAGCTGAGAAGGCCTGCTCTGGACAAAGGACCCATGTTGCCTTTGCCAGAACTTGGGGGAAGCTCTGGCTGTAATCTCCACCCGCTGTGTCAAAGCAGCAGCTTGATTTGGAAACACACGGGGCTTGCTTGCCAATTCCTTCTTTCAAAAGGAGCAGGGTCAGGCGCTTCCGGCTCCATGACTGCCACTCTTGATTGGACAGAGTGGTTTGTACCCACATCCCTGCCAAGGAATTTTTAAACTCTACATAGATGCTCCTTCTCCAAAGGCAGCCCCGGGCCCAGCCCACCTCCTCTCTGGGAGTCAAGCGGCCCCACCATCGTGCTTCTCCTGCCAGAGCACAGGGCCTATCCTTGCTCTCACCTGGTCTGGAACGTTAGATTGGAGTTGTTATTTTAAAAAATTTTAAACCAGTAAGCACTCTAGCCACTCTTGTGGGCAGTGAGCCAGCAGACCATCCCCTGATTCTAGAACACTTGTAAAGGAATATGAGAGGCAGCAGAGTGAGAAGCCTGGCTCCTGGAGCCAGGTCTCTGTGTGCCCTTGGGCAGGTGAAGGGGGATGACTATCCTTAGCCCACAGGGGTGTTGTTGTAAACATGAGGAAACACATGCAGAGTGCACAGAACTGCACCTGGGACGTGGCAGGCACCAGGTGAAAGCCAGTTGTTACCACTGCCCACGCGCACAAGGGAGTCAGCTCCGATTAGCAATGTGATAAGCAAGCAGGGAAGTTTCTTTAGTGTTTCCATGAGAAAGCAGCTGGTTTCTAAACAAAGTTGTGTTTGGGGAATAAAGGAGAAGTCCAACATCATCATTTCAAAACTTGGAGATAGGATAGACTACACTTAAGATAATGACTATACTATAGAATTGGGAATTTTTATCTTTAGAAAAATGCTTTTGGAGAATTAAGACCCAACTAAACAATGTACAATGAGCCAAACCTGTCTGGCATCCAGAGCTGCAGCCAAGCAGATTGTGACGAGCTGGCAGGCCCAGGTGTGTGCACCAGCCCAGGTAACACTATACATACCTTGCTCCCTGTGAGCTGAGCGAGGTGAGGTTTCAGATCTTCTCCGATTACGGAATAAATTGCCACTAAGCAAAACACACTGGCCTTACGCACACTACTCTCGGTGTTGTCATAACCCTAGACAGCCAGAAAGGGAACACAAAAAGGAAATCAGATCAAAGATTTGTTTTGCCGTCACTATTTCACCAACATTTCCACAAATGCCCTCATAGTTCAACCTTGGACTTGTCAGTAACAACTAGGACATACCTCATCCCTGCAACTGAACCCAGGGAGCTTTCACTCCAAAAAGGTCAAAACTTAGTGTCAGCAGTGAGCTGGGTCCTAGGGTGTGGAAGCAGAAGGTTGGCGAGTCCTAGCCAGGTCTGCCTTGACAGGGTGCTGTTCTATACCCAGCTGCCATCCAAAACGCGTTCAGACAGACAGCAATAAGGAAAGGAAACTAAGGGGGAAGAATGACTTGCTTTGCTCACATTTTCACAAAGGTAAAGCAAATTTCATGTAAAAATGCCTTCACAAAAATGAGAACATCAATCACTTTTGTGGGTAAAAGCTCTCTACTCTCCAGTGATTGCTAGGGAACATCTGGTCCCACAGCCAGACACATCTGTGGCCCCGAAAACTGGACCTTGATCTACCTATCAGCCTCATCCCTGGCCTCACACTCAAATGGGGCTGCCTGCTGTGCTCCACACAGCCTTGAGACTTCTCAGCCTTTGTGCCTTTCCCTCTGCCTGGAATAATCTAGTCCCCGACAAGTTAAGTGTTTAAATCCCCAAGCGGAGCACTGAGCAAACACCAGCATTTATTAACTGTGAGGCTGACTCTTCTCTACCTTTCCCTAGGGAAACCCCAACTCTAACCACCTCTGCCAGGAGCCTTGCGGTGGGCTGTCACACCCTTGAGATAGTGCCCCACAGTGAGTGCAGCTTTCACCTGCCAGAGTCTGTTTCAGTCATTGCCCACCCCCCCCACCTCCCCCACCCCCCCTTTAGGAGAGCTTCAATAAGTATTTGTTGGCTACAGGAGATCAAGGATCATTGTTTGCCTTATACTCCATAGGCTACCTTGCCTGGGGCTGGGTCCACAGGAGCTGTGCAATACAGGTTTGTTGAAAAAACAAAGAAAAATGATCAAAATATGTTTACAGTAAACAGAAAGTTCATTCTGTGAGCCACCAGGAAAGGCTGTGATGCCACACAGACTCCTAGGTCCTCACCTGGGGGTGACTGGCTTTTCCTAACCGCCCTCCCAGTGAAGCATGAAAACCCCAGGGCTTTAAGCCGAGCAGCCACTGCTGCCTGCCTCACCTTCCGCAGACCAGCAGCTGGCCCCACCACGGGGAGGGTTCTTACCTGCAGCAAGCCTGGGATGATGTCAGCAAGGAGCTGCAGCAAGGACTCCTTGGCGATCCTCTCAACAACTTTGGTCTGCATCTTGATGGCGGCGAGGTTGATGGGGTAGTCGGCTGTCTGGATGATGGGGCACAGCACCTTGATGCACTGCTCCGGGTGGATAGAACTGGCCAGGGTGGACGCAGCCTCCTCAGCGGCTCTTACTACCTGAAACACCCGGTTCCCCAACTGTGAGCTTTGCATGCCACCCAAGGAGAAAGATCAAACCTCACTTCTGTCTGATTTCAGAGGTTAAAGGACAATGATCTCACGGAATGCTCCATGGCAGCCATTACTTCCTCTGGCTTAGAGTGTTAAACAAAGTACAAGCGGAGTGGTTTGGAGGATAATTTTAAAGTGGAGTGTGGTGGCTCGGCACCTGTAGCACAGAGGTTACAGCATCAGCCACATACACCGAAGTTGGCCAGTTAGAGCCCGGCCAACAACGTCTAACCAACAATGACAACAGCAACAAAAAATAGTCAGGCTTTGTGTTGGGCACCTGTAGTCCCAGCTACTTGGGAGGCTGAGGTGAGAGAATCACTTAAGCCCAAGAGTTTGAGGTTGCTGTGAGCTGTGATGCCACAGCACTCTACTGAGGGCAACAAGGGCAACGTAGTGAGACTGTGTCTCAAAAAAAAAAAAAAAAAGAATAGGTTGGCGCCTGTGGCTCAAAGGAATAGGGCGCCAGCACCATCATATACTGGAGGTGGCGGGTTCAAATCCTGCCCTGGCCCAAAACTGCAAAAATAAATAAGTAAAATAAAATAAAGTGGAATGTGGGACATGGAAAGGCAAAAATGAGGGATTCTGGCAAAAACCTTGTAAGAGTGGTTTTCCCAGAGCAGCAGCCCCTGGGAACTTGTTAGAAATGCAGCTTCTGGCTCGGCGCCTGTGGCTCAAGCCGCTAAGGCGCCAGCCACATACACCTAAGGTGGCGGGTT